AATGGATGTTGTGTACAAGGATCTTGTTAATAAAAAAAGTGAAGATACAAATGATGAACTTCAGATTTGCTTGAAGAAAGTTGTTGAGACTCCTAAGATCTTAATGGGACTTGAGTTTGACATTCTGTCATGGTGGAATGTGTACAAAATCAAGTATCGGTTCTTATAGAAATGGCCATGGATCTCTTTGGTATGCATGTTTTATCAACGACATCAGAAAGACTTTTAGTACAAGTGACAAGATATTAGAATCATATATAAGTTGTTTAACTCAATTCATGGTAGAAATGTCATGTATATTGAGCAATGAATGTAAGCTGACATCAAGCTTAATGTAAACATCACTACAAATGAACAAGTCATAGCTGATGTTGAACTGTTGGATAAACTTGAGAAATGTATGTTTGTTTTAAGTTATGGTATATTCATTAACGTTTGTATATTTATCATTTAACTTAAATTTTTTTTTTTTTTAGAGTTCGAAACTCAAAACACAGATGATTGAAGTCTAGATTTTGAAGGTTGAAGGTTGAAGATTGAAATTTGAAAAATGGAAGAGTTGGTTTTCATTTTTCTGAATAATGTTGCTTTCTTTTGTTTTATTTTAGATCATGAATTTAGCTTGGTTTGCATTATAATAATGGTTATTTTTATTTGGTCTTAGTGTTAATAAAGTTACAATGTTGTTGCTTTAGCCCATGATCTTTTTTGGTTTAGCATTAGCAATCATATTTTAGTTAACATAGGCCTAGGTTAACGTTAAGTACATTCAGATAAAATTTTGTTTCTAGAATATCTTAGTAAGTATTTATTATTTATTAGTGTCTAATAAATGTAAATTAGTGTTTTAAGATCAAAATTCAATTAAGATCCAAAATCTAAAAATTATGTCATGTTTAACCGGTTCTTTGATTAATATCAAATTTGAATTGAATCCGACTAAACTTGAACCAAGACCGGCTCGAACTTTCAGAATATTTGAATATAGCTGATTTTTATAAATTTAAATATCTAAAACCTGAATGAATCTGAACCGAAATCCGATTGGGATCTCCAATGCAAGCATAGGTGAAACCATGAAAGAGACAAAAACCATAAATATTAAACAAGTTTTCAAAATATATATATATCCCTTATTTGTCAAAAATTGAATTATATTCTAGAAAGACATCAACATTAGATGACCCCATCCTTACTCTTGCATGCAAAAATCCGAGTACATTTTCCTTGTTATTTTCTCTTCTTTTAAAAAATATTTTACATTGTAATGTTAACTAGAACTTGATCCGCACGACCGTGCGGGTATTAATTTTCTGTTTTTAGTTTTCTATTTGTATTAAATTTTCTGGTTATATTACATTCACTAAAGGTAATGATTTTTTTTTGTTAAACGATCAATTGTATGACCAATATTCGATATAATATAAACAAATTAAACATATATATTATACTAAGGTTTGTGAAATCCTAATGTAGAAAATGTACTTAAACCAAGTGTGGAAGACGAAAGCCATGATATTATGCAAGGAACTAATTTTTTTTTTCAAATTTTTTGTTTATAAGCAATTGTTTGGGTGCTAATTATTCACAAAATTTTCATTTATCGTTCAGTATTTTGCCCATTGGGCTTTTAAATGAAATTACAGTTGACAAACAAAAATATTGTTCAGTATTCCGCAAGTGAACTGATGAAGAATTTATTTAAAAACAAAATAGAAATAAGATATTATTTTCTTAAATATAATAGTTAGCGAAAATCATGGAAATTTGAATGCTAATTATTCAAATATCTGATTTAATATCAACTATATCGTAATTGAAGGTGGAAAAGTTATTGAGAAACATAATAGCTAATTTAGTGATATCTAATATTTTAATTGTCTGTGTACATTTTATTTTCTATATTTTATAGGTAGTTAATATTCGATATTGATTATAGGTTTGGATAGATTAAAAAAGACATTATGTTTGGATTCTAAATTAATGATTTGGTTTGTTTAAAATGATTAGCAAAAATGGAATTGTATAGATGGTTTAAATTTTATACATAAAAAATTAATATATGTATCATCTCGGTCATAGGTTGCAATAATATACAAGTGTCGATATACTTTATATGTTACTTAGATTATTTACCTCCACTACTTTTTATACAGGTACATCTTGATCGGTTTTATTAAAGAAAATTGTATACTGCACATCAATGAAGACACGAATTCATAATTTCCTTGATTTGTTTTTTTGGATAACAATGATATTTTGATCTTTGATTTAATAGAGAAGTGAGTCGGGATGTTCTTAGTTCAAATTTATTTTAGGAAAACATATTAATTAAACTGAAAAAGACAAAATATTAAAATAGGTAATATCCATAATTATTCAGTGGTATGGTAATGTAAATAATTTGGAAAATTAAGGGGTACATTTTATTGGTATTTCTCTTTTAATAATAGAGATGATGCTTGGTAACTTTACTAAAGCAAAGTGACTATTTTTAATTGAATCTCTCTCTTTGGAAAACATATATAACTGAACCTCTTTTATTGTTTTTTCTTTCCTTACGTATTGAATATGTAAACGTATAATAAACCGCATGATTTTGAAGTCTAGGAGCGTAGGAGTAGGACTACGTTTTGTTTGATAATGAACTTTGTATATATTAAAGCCTACCCGCAAATGCAATCAATATTGGATAGTTAATTATTTATTTAATTGTGAACCAAGTAGATGCAAATATCTTTCTGGTATTCCTAACCATCAGCGAGAGTATGATGGGAACTGCCTCCATGTTCACATACGTCTACGTTGACATTTCTGCAAAACGACAAATTTCAATTAAATTTTTTCCTGGCAACAATGACCTGCTAACAAGTCGGGTTCCACATAAAATCTGTTGTTTTTATATTGAATAAACTAATATTCATCTAAGAAATTATGTTGTACTTATAAGAAAGAATTAGAAAAAGTATACGAGGACCAAGTAAATCGATGTTGAAACTAGAGGACCGCGAGTCAAATGCAAAAGGAGTGGAAGAAAAATAGATGACGGCACCAAATAACACGAAGCTGAGAAAATGTCATCCCTAATAGGAACTTGATTTACTCATCGCCGGAGCTACAAGATCATATAGGAGCTTTTCGTTGTCGCCTGGCAATCTTGCCCAAAGGGGAGAACAATCTCTTTACGGTTTGAATTTGTGGGCTTACTGGGCCGAAATGGGCAATATTAGATTATTTACTGGAGTGGACCGCTTGTTAAAATGTGTTGGGTTTTTTCTTCTACTCGTTCGGTTCTTCTTGGATTTGAAAATTTATTTTGGTGCGTTTTAACAGAGCTTCAATTTTTATTTACTAGCTCAATTAGGGGTCGGCACTTTATCCGATACCCGAACTCGTATCCGAACCCAACCCGAAATATCCAAAACGAAGTAAGAAAATATCTGAACGGGTATTGAGTTAGGAGAGTTTGGATATCTAAACCCCAACGGGTAATATTCGAACCCGAACGGGTATCCAAAGATAATCGAACATATGTATATATACCTATTTATTCCGAGTTTATTTGTCGCATTTTATTAAAAATATTTATATTAATGTTATATATAGTTTAAGATTAGATAATATACATATAATTGTAAAAAAAAATTGATTTGTTACTCATTTAAAATGCATATTAAGATTCTTATTTCATATTTTAAACAAAATTTGAATCCAAAATTCGAAACTAACAACCAAAATAATGATTTTTATTTTCAATAATTTATTTTCAAACTTATGAATCGTCTAACTTATTAAACATTTTAAAAACAGTTAAGTTAATAGTTAAATTTTAAATACATGAAACTTAAGTAATAAAGAATTTGAAATTTTTCTTTCAAAATCTAAATATCCGAACCCGACCCGAAATAACCGAACCCGAACTAAAAATATCTGAACCCGACCGGATATGTAAAAATACCCGAAAATCCGAAATACCCGACTCGAATCCGAACGTATATTTGAACTCCCAGCCGTAAGCTTAATGATCCATTTTTTGAGGTAGGAGGCTTTTAGCTACCAAAAGACATGGCTCTACTTGGTGTTAAAAAAAAGACAGGACTCTGTTTTACACAATAATAAATAATTTCATTTATAGTTTCCAATTATATGTTTTCAATTTCAAACTTTTTAAAAGTTTGTTACAGAAAAAAACATTGCTCTTAGCTTGATGTTGCATAACCAAATCCAACTTGTTCCGGTTAAATAAGAAGAGTCTTTAGACATGTACAACATTAACCCTGTGACAGGTGCAGAAGAACTGGTGGTTTTGTTTCTTCCATGGCACAAGACATTCTGCAGATTCTATATCTGAGGATAGACATGAAAAATCAGGAAGAGAGCTTGATGTTGCTGCAGAGAAAAGTAGTTCGGTAAGGGTAACAAGTCTGCTTCGATCTAGCTGACAGTTTCCTTTTTCTTCTCGATTACTCAGACACTAACATTATATCGTTGATACCGCTGAGAGCAAATTAACATCGAATATCAAATGTCATAAATTTCAACTACATAAAACAATCATAAACCACATGCTGTGCCCACGTGAGAGAGAGACTTGCATAGGGCCCTGACATCTAAAGAACACGTTTCTGCATTGAAATAAATAAACCACTGAACAGAAAATTAAAGTTATACTATACAAGCTAGCATAAAACATTATTGATCTGACTACATCATGGAATAGATAAATATTACATAGTGATAGTACTCTCCACAAGGAAACAAAAGGGAAAGAAGAAGGTGTTTGGACTATAGCACTCTTGAATTTTCTTCACACAAAACAAATTGTTATGATAACATGAATTCGTTGGATCAATTGGATCGTTTGTTCATTTAGGTTTACGTTCAGAAACAGTGGCGGTAAATGACTAAGCCTTTGAAAGAAGGAATATATATATATATATATTTTAAACATACAAGGGAAGAAAATAATTATTTTTTTCGAAAATAAAATAAAATAATTACGCAACTAAAGTAACGTGTTAAACAATCAAACAAAATATGTTTAAAAAACAAACAATCAAACAAAATAGACAACTACTAACGTCGAAAAAAGGACAACTACTAACAACTCGAAGTTATTACCGGTACGCATGTGTTGGTAAACGAAACCCACTCACTCACTCTAGTCACGTGCGGCCTGCGCACCTACTATACTAGATAATAAACATTCTACGTGCAACAACCAAAAAAAAAAACTATAATTACACAGGTAAATTTACCGGGTCGGTTGTCTACGGTTTATGACCCGATTCCTAGTCTCTGTCCAGATACATCACATTGTACCGGAGCCAAACCGATTCTCGATCTCTCCAAATCAAATTCAATCCACATGTTCTGCTGATGATGGTGTCCAATCACATACGCCTCCATCCCCATAAGATCGGAGTTTCCAAACGTGAAACAATAAACCGAATCGTTCCCAACCGTCAGATGCGGGACTCGGTACAACAGCGGCTGACCCGTAACCGATATCTCAGCCCCTTCGAAAACCAGGGAAACCGATGGTAACCGGTGGAGAATCCCGGTCCGAATCCGAACCGGCGAAATTAAATAGCACAAATCCATGGTTCCTTGGAAAACGAAATCCGGTTCTTCGTAAACCGTCAATGTCCCGTTAGTCTGGTTCAAGAACTCGGTTCGAAGCGCGGTGTAAACCGGTCCAAGCAAGAAAGTAAACTGAGTACCGGAATCAACCATCGTCTGACCGGCTCCGGTATGATCCGGTACGAGAACCGACTTAGGGATGGGTAAAAGCTTGCCGCTGACTTTAATCCCCGTGAGCTGGACGGTGTAAGCGACACGGTCGAAGTAAGGTAACGGCGTGGAGATCCGGATCAACGGCGTGTAGTTTAACGGCGTTAGCCACGTGAAGTTGGAGTCTCCGAGGAGGAGGAAGCCAGGGAAGTCGTCGGTGCCGGAGATGCAGTATGAGAACTTGGGGAAACCCATCTGAGAGATGAAAGAGAGGGAGCCACGGTTCATGCCGAGTAACCCGGTTGTCTTGCTGTCTTCTTCCGGGTCGGATCCGGATACGGATCCCATGCACCCGAAAACGAGAGTGGAGTTGTTGGTGGAGTTTCCGATGTGGAAAATCTCTGCGGCGAGGTTGCCTTCGGAGGAGGATGCGTCGGCGTAGGAGAGAGTTGCGTGGCAGAGTTTGTCGGAGTCGCAGGAAGCGGGTATGAGGAAGTCTCGTGTCCGGGTCCGACAAGTGGGGGAGGAACATGGGATTGGTGAGTACGAGGAGGAGAGAGTCGGGTCGAAGATGTTGAGCGGGTTCGGGTTTGGGTTTGAGGTGCGGTTGCAGCGAAGCCAGGAGAGTTCGCTGCCAGTGTCGATGACGAGGGTGATGTTTTGAGGAGGAGTACCGACGGTGAGTGTGACGGTGAGAGTTACGTTATGGTGAAAATGGAGTTTGTCGGTGGGTCGATGACCTGAATTATCCGTTGGGGTTATTCGGGTCTTTAGAGGTAGAACAAGAGTTTGTGAAGAAGAGGAGAAACATTGATTTGTTCTGATGAAAAGAATGAGAACAAGAAGAGAAATAAGAGGATGGAACGTTAGGTGCATGATGAGAAATTAATGAGAAAGTAAGTTTGAAGAAGAAGAAAGATGAAGAGGAAGTCAAGTTTGTGAGATTGGTGCAAGTTCACTGAAACAGCAATGAGATCTTTGTTCTTTCTTTTCAACTGAACAATATCTCTTTTGTTTTCTATTTCCTCGAATGTGGACTCACAATATACTCCCTCTGTTTCAATATAATTGTCACTCTACAGCTATGCACACGGATTAAGGAAACAATTAATTTTACATATTTCCTATATAAAAACACAATTACCCACACACCTAACCATATTTTAACCAATAGAAAAACAAATTACATAATAAAATTAATAAATTTTGCATTGAAAACCGAAAACGACACTTATTTTGTAACACAAAAAAATCTCTACAACGACACTTAATATAAAACGGAGGGAGTATAAGACTTTTCATTAATTAGCAAAGAAAATTTATTTTAAAAATGTTCGTCAAGGCTCAAGTGTTTTATCTATCAGTGTCATAATTATGATTTATTAAAATTTTGGTTTCACTAGTTAATTATTATTTAACTGGTTTCTAATAATTTTAGAAAGAAATAAATGTATTTTGTTATGAATAGTCACGCAGAATTATTATTATTATTATATTAAATAATTGCAGAATGTTAATACTGAAATGGTTAATCTGTAAGAGTGACACGTTAAGCACATATGACATGCACTAATGAACATATCAGAGCTTTAGAATAGCTTAATTCAGTCAGCTGATTTTTTAATGTATGTAGCGACCATAGCCATGGCTTTAAATTCAAGGCAAATAATTAGGAGAATGATTTTAATATTATTAAAACTTCTTCATTAGGTTGAAGTTCGTTTAAAACCTTGAATTTTAGCTGACACTTTAATGTTTTAAAACCACTAAAGCATGTGTGTTTACCTTGGTTTCGTCACTGTATTTATGGAAGTTTGGACGGTGCGCATTTTATAATAGAGATTCAGACATTTGTTTACTCCAGCAGTCTAGTATTTAATGTTTCTCCAGAGTATTTGAAAAGTTACTTGTCTTTGTTTTCAGTTCCAACTTCATCAACGAACACATGAGATTGATCAAGAGAGGCTACTTGTGAAATTATCGACAATCGATCAGTTAAACGTTTGACAGTTAAAAACGTTGGGCATTCTAAATCAATGACTACTAATATTTTGGATTTGATAAGGTATGGATCCCATGTTTGTGTGTAAGAACTTTAACTTTCTCAGTTAATCATTGGATCAAAGAAAATTGCACATGTTTTCCAAAACCATTGACACTAAAAAGAAGAATAAGCAAGCTGTAAGATGAACTAATGTTTACTTTTGGGAAAATGAATAAAAATTATATGAAAAGAAAAAAAAAAAAGAGTATGGAGATGTGACGTTCACATGGAAAAAGACCTTTGAGAATAGAGAGGGATGGTTGCACATGTTGTTTGCCTTGCTGTTTTAAGGACAAAGCCCCCGTCATTTATGAGTTTGGGTCCATTTTTCTTGAATCCTGCTCCAAATCAGGACACTTTCACTTACCAATCAGGCTCATTTATATCTTCACTTGCCCACTAGGTATGCTCGTGTAGTCGTGTGACACATTACTTTGAATACACAATACGTTAGGTTCTAAATTATACTCCCTCCGTTCCCAAAAGATCCATGTTCTAGAAAAATATTTTGTTTCAAAAAGATGTATATTTTATATTTTCTATGAAAAAATTACAAGTTTCAAAAATATTAATTGATTTTATTAGATTACTATTGGCTAAAAGTTGTTGAAAATTGAAAATTACTAAAAACGATAGTGATTTAATGTGTTTTCTTAATATGTGTGAAAACACTAGAAAATCTATCTTTTAGGAACAGAGGGAGTAATATGTAATGATAACATCTTATCTTATCTTTATAAATAAAATTGACTTTTTTTCTCTCCTTGGATCATTTTAAGACAAGTGTCACTATGATTTGTTGAAGGGTTTTAATGAATTGAGTTTGGGTTTGGACTTCTAAAAATTACGTCATTTTTGTTTAAGAATTTACGTTAAGGTTTTACAAACAAACCCCAGTGAAAATAGGTTTAGACGTCTACTTGATTTCGTACATCAGCCAACCAAAGTTAGAGAGATTATAGACGACGGTCACGTCTCCGTACGTTTCAGCGTTGACAATTTCTCTGCTTTGCCGACTAGAAGGTCGATTATGGGAAGCGCGTAAGATGATGACAGACGGAGAGCTCATGAAGGTTAACATGCTGTTCATCGAGGAGCATATGATTAAAATGAACAATGATTATATATTAGTTCCTTTCGGGGAGGGTTGATTATTGTTTTTTCTTCCAAATGAAGAATAAAATTCTAGTACTTTAAGTTGTTACATGGTCTTCAAGTTGGTAGTTTTGATCTTTTTAATTTGAATAAGTCTTGGTCCTAGATTGTAGGAGATAGTGAGGAGGTTGTTTAGCTTTCAGTTGAGTCTTTTTCGTTGATTAGTTAAGACCATGTAAAGTCTATTTAAGACTATCTTTATTTCACGTTGAATGCAAGCTTTCAGATTCAATCTTTGTTCATTCTAAATCTAACGAGTGGTATCAGAGCCACAACGAGACTGAGACAGAGAAAGAGAGAGAGAGTTGAAAAATGGGTGAAAAAGACACATTGATCATACCGAATTTTGACGGGAACTATGAGCACTGGGCCATGCTAATGGAGACTCTACTTAGATCTAAGGAGTGGTGGGAACTGATCGATCCAGGGCTCACACGACCTGAGATGAATGTGATCCTAACATGGGCACAAAGAACGGAGCTAGCTGAGCACACCGTCAAGGATCACAAGGTTAAAAACTATCTATTTGCGTCAATAGATAAAACTATTCTCAAGACCATTCTGAAGAAGGAGACATCAAAGGATCTATGGAATTCCATGAAGAGGAAATTCCAAGGGAATGAGAGAGTGCAGAGTGCACAACTACAAAGGCTAAGAAGAAACTTTGAAGTTTTAGAGATGAAGATGGGGGAGACGATCACAAAGTACTTTGCACGAGTGATGGAAGTTACCAATGACATGCACAATCTTGGAGAAGATATGCCAATGCAAAGGTGGTGGAGAAGATACTGAGAACTTTGGTTGATAAGTTCACATTTGTCGTATGTGCCATTGAAAAATCAAACGACATCAAGCAGCTGACAGTAGATGGACTTCAGAGCTCACTGATGGCACATGAGCAAAATCTCAGCAAAAACACAGGAGAAGAGCAAGCCATGAAGGTTGAGGGACAGTGGAAGCCGGATTATGGAAGGGGAAGAGGAAGAAACCAGAACACCTCACGAGGATGTGGTAGAGGAGGTTATCAAGGTAGACGACGTGGGAGTACAAGATACAACAAGGGGTACACTGAATGCTACAAGTGTCACAAACTAGGACACTTCAAGTTTGAGTGCCCAAGTTGGGATAAGGAGGCAAACTATGCTGAGATGGAAGAAGATATGCTCTTAATGGCCCATGTAGACACGGTGGATGAGTCTCAAGAACATGTTTTGTTCTTAGACTCTGGTTGTAGTAACCACATGTGTGGAACCAAGGAGTGGTTTGTGGAGTTTGAGGAAGGCTTTCGACAGAGTGTTAAGCTTGGAGATGATAGGAGGATGATGGTAGAAGGAAGAGGAAGTCTGAGATTGGAGATAAATGGAAGCATCACGGTGATCACTTCATTCTACTACGTACCAGGACTGAAGAAAACCTCTTTAGCGTAGGTCAGCTTCAAGAGAAGGGCCTTAGGATCATCATAGAAGATGACGTTTTTGAAATCTGGAACAAGCATCAAAGGAGGATGATCATATAGTCAAAGATGACGAAGAACATAATGTTTTTGATACGAGCTAGTGGCAAGAAAGCTAAAGAAAGAGTGGAGACAAGGTGTCTACAAGTAACAATGCAGAGTGATCAATTGTGGCACAAGCGCTTTGGTCATCTAAACACAAAGGGCCTGAGATCATTAGCAGAGAAGAACATGGTAAAGGGATTACCTACTATCACTCATGATGGAGAAGAGATGGTGTGTGAGATCTGTATGCGAGGAAAGCAGAACCGAGAGAGCATCCCAAAAAGAAGCTTGTGGAAGTCAACACGTGGACTGCAGCTAGTTCATAGTGACATTTGTGGACCAATCAAACCAACATCAGAAAGCGGAAAGAGGTATATAATCAACTTTATTGATGATTATAGTAGGAAGTGTTGGACTTACTTCTTGACATAGAAATCAGAAACATTTAAAACCTTCAAGGAGTTTAAAGCCGGAGTAGAGAGAGTTAGGCCAAACTCTTGTGTGCCTGAGAACAGACAGAGGAGGGGAGTATAATTCAAAGAAGTTTGAAAAGTACTATAAAGAGAATGGAATCAAAAGGCAGTTAACCGCAGCTTACACTCCCCAGCAATATGGAACTGCAGAGAAAAGAATCGAAGCGTGATGAATATGACACGATGTATGCTTCTAGAGAGATCAGTATCAAGAACGTTTTGGCCAGAAGCAGTGCAGTACGCAGTACACATCCTGAATAGGAGTCCATCAGCTGCAGTAAAAGAGGTCACACCTGAACAGAAGTGGAGCAACAACAAGCCATAAATAGATCACCTCAGAATCTTTGGGTGCATTGCCTACGCTATGGTTCCATACGAAAGGAGAATCAAACTGGATGAAAAGAGCACAAAGTGTGTGTTCTTTGGTGTGAGTAAAGAATCAAAAGCGTACTACATGTATGATCCAAACACAAGTAAGATTCTGATAAGTAAAGATGTTCGGTTTGATGAAAGTAATGGATGAGATTGGGAAGACAAAACGAAAGAGAAGAAACTTGAGTGGGAAGATTCTGAAACAGATTCAGAAACAGCAAGGAATGCAGAACCTGAAGAAAATGAAGAAGAAGAAGTAGAAACGGGTAGAGAAGAAGAAGGTGGAGAAGAAGAGGAAGATGAGGAAGAACAAAACATGAATATTGAGGCACAG